TTTGAGTACATTCAAAGCGGTGTTAGAAACATTTCTAATATACATTCAATCACATGATTTATTTCTTGTTTAAGCATGTAGCAGCTATAAAAGATCTGGATAAAATGTGGTATTTGAAATGGTAGAGAACATGATCGATTAATATAACTACCACTTTGTATCTCAATTACAGACTTAAAAAAACAAACTTGGCACAAAATGCTCCAAAATGCCTGAAGAATCCAAGATGAAGAATTATTTTCCCGTAGTGTTTCACTCCCAGTAGACATGAATCAAATGTAAGGCTGCAGGAAACCACTTTTAGCTGGATTGCATTCGGTCACAAATGGGTTAAACACAAGCAAACTGAACTGAATAAATTGGGTGACTGAGAGGTGGAAGTTGAAGCAATCATGTTTTTCCAACAAAAGTCGGCCGACCAGTGTTGGAAATTGATAAGAAATACTATACTTTTCTAGTGCTATTATTTTACAGGATCAAATTTTAAATGCAAATTACCATCATTTCAATGAGGTACATGTACTACATGAAATGTTTGTAGTTTTGCTTGCCCATGTTGTACATTCCCTTAACACTCCCAGTTAAATTAACAATTAGAATTATCAGTTTCACGTGACGTATTTGATATAAAATATTACAAAACTTCTCAAAAACTGTGAAACTGTTGCAACACTTAACTTTTCATGAAACACTTATTAAAATACTATTAGTTGGCATTGGTTAATATTTTCTCATTACTGAATATGGATGCCTTCCTCTTTGTTTGGAAAACCCTCTAAAATATTGTTAAAAGTTGTACACCCTTTCATTACATTATTTATAAGAGAATTTTGATTTGTCAAGTTAACTTGCTTTTGTTTTCTAAATGCGTAATGACAAACACGAATTACATGTATGAATTAGAAGAAACCACAAAGTAGTAAGTCTTTCTGGCAAATTAAAACTGAATTGAAATCAAAATGAGGGTTAGCCTAATTTTAGGGTTTGTCAGTGTCACAAAAGGGTGGGGATATGTCTCACAATAGTGTCCACCATTCCCCACCAAACATTCAAGTGACAAGTTGTGGCTGTTTAAATGTCACGTTAACCATAAAGCAAACCACTGCACAGAAATCCAAAACGGGTTTTAAGTATCTTGTTTTGTGTTCATGGAAATGCATTTGTCACAGATAAGAAATGCACCTAACATCCAATCCCCTGAAAAAATCTCTGCATTTAAATGTTGATTTTTCTGTGTCCGATTCAGTTCCATATTGCATGAAATCCTCACACTTAATAAACAAGCAAACTGTCACACTTGATTAAGATTTAATCTAA